CACCGGGATAATGGAAAAAAACATGGAAGCTCATACTTGGTAGTTTCCCCAAATGGGTGGACTCAGTATAGACTCCAAAGATATTATGATGCGTACTATGGAGACCCCTCAAAAGGTACCCGAAACCCCCCCATGTTGCGGTCCAAGGTCCAGCTGGAGCGCTATCTGATGGAAGGTAACTATGCCAAGGCCATGCGAATTTTCCGCACGTTATGATCATGATCACGCTTCTCGATAATTAGGAAGAGGAGGCTGTTGATATGACTATTACTTATGACAATGATGCGAAGCATGATAGCATTGGCACTTGTAGTATTCTTGTTGATGCCGGTGATGAACGCTTTGTCCTTAATCTGAACCATGACGGTGATCAGGGTGATAGTGCAGGTAGTTGATGTTCGCAGTACAGGTAGCAAAGATGGCCCTGGTCTTGATGGCTGGGAAGTCATGTCATAGCTGTAACTAGCAAGCATACTGTACTGAGCATACCTAGGATCTTCCGTGTGCTGTCCAGAGCGCGTAGAATTCCTGATGAATCCCACCACGTCTCATTGAAGAACTGTCACAGGTGCTGGAAGCACAGAAGGACGTCCCGAAGATGTGCGCTCGTGAATTGTTTCGGTATGCCGGGTGTTTCTTCCCTTGGGGTTACTCTTTGGGTGTCTGATAGGGTCTCATCAAGGTTATCAATGAATTGCTGGTTTATTTCTATATATATACACATATATACATACATATATATATATATATTTTTTTCCGCCCCGGTGCTCTCGCTGTAATGAGGACCAGGCACGGAAATGATTAGCACAGACCGCCTTGCATAGGGGAAGCAGCATATGGGCTCGACGGATTTCCCACCGCTATAGGGATGATTATCCCGACAATGGAGAATCAAAGAGACCGGCAAATGATTAGAGAGTCAAGTGGGAGCTACAATATATGGGGATTATGTAGGGACACAGAGGGATTGGGTAGCTCGCCTTTGGCTTGGCTTGAGTTGCTAGTTTTTTTGGGGCTGCTAGCTGTGTAGTTTCAACAAAGCAGCATCAGCAGTCCCCAAAGCGAAGCATCCGAATGCTTCAGGTTGTTCTCAGGCCATAACTCCTAGAAACCAAGAATTCAGAAACAAAAAGTGCAACAATCCCCAATCTTGAAATCTTTTACAAACCGGCCGCGTTCTGAGAGACGCCAGCACGTAAGACATGGTCTTGGCAATAGAGCGGGGCAAACACTGCCCCATTTGGGTGTGGGTTTTATGGGGAGAGTATTTATTGGAGTTATATTGGGATAAGGGAAAAGAAAATGGAAACCTGAATGACTGTTAAGTAATTCACGATGTAGGTAACTATCCCCCGCACCCCCCAAACCCACCCCAACCCAGGTTGCGTTGAGAGATGACTGCGGTAATGACTTCAAAGAACAGGGAAATGTACGGGCAAACGATAGCAAGTTGGTTGCGAAGGGAACATGGATGCTCTCGCAGTTGCAGGGTACATGGATCCCTTTGTAGGCTGAAAGTGCTGTGTGTGTCAGCTGCAAGTGCTGTTGATTCCGGACGCGGCTCAGATCATATCTTCAGCCATTTTCTTACCCCAAAACAGCCTGAAATGTTGCGTTGGCCATACTGATCCTTAACACCCCGCCCTCATTCACGGGCAAACGATGGCGATTGATCCAAAACTTTGGGCCTGAGCCCTATTTCAAAAGACCGCGCAGTCTGCCTGTACTTGCTCGAGCCACAGCGCAGGTTTCCTTGAGCTCTAACTCTTTCTTAATCTAGACGTATGCCCATAGCAGTATATGGACAGTGTTCATACGAAGAGGCTTCGATGCAACTTGGAAACATGCTGCGCAGCTGGCCAGGTACTACGCCTTTTTTATGGAGAGGCTGATTGATACAGTTCGACAAAAGGCGGCATGCTGCTGACCTTTGACCAGCTAGCCCCAATTCTGATTCAACAGCATCCTTGTAAGGGATCCCCAAGTTCCCAACAGTGGTTTACTAACAAACGTAAAGCCAGCGAACTTGGAGCTGTTAAGGGTGGGCACAGAAAGTTCGACATGGCACTCAACATCTTGCACTTTAAAGAGCTTAGTATGGTTGACCAGCGTTCGTCTCGCGCACTCTGACCCCGAGGTGGAGTAGTAGTCTGCTTGTGGTCATTGTCATCGTCGTCATCATTAATCCCCCTTCCAGCAAACCCTTGCCAGTCAAGGAGAACATTCGCAAATCCTCCACCATTTGGCATACAAGACATGGAAGACGAGGAAGAGTTCTACTTGCATTGCCACATCATTTCCATGGTGTTTGACAAGCAGCATGGATCCTGAGCGTTAAACCTGAAACCCTGAACCCTAAGCCGCTGAATCCTGGTAGAAGCTTGTCCTAGGCGATTTGAGGCTTTAAAGACTTCTAGCCTCGCTGCAAATCAGTTCCAGATTGGCAGCAGGACGGAAAAGGCGTAAGCAAAGCCCTCAATCCAATCATGCCTGTAAATCTTTCCCATGCCCCTCCCCAATATAGGGATTACATAGGGATAATGGAAATAACGTGGAAACTACTATGGTATGTTATATAGCTAGCATATGGGGATAATGGAAAAATGGAACCTACCAAGCTGCGTTTATACTTTTTAGCAGCCTTCTACACCCAAATAGAGCCCCCATATTTCCCGGCAGGCTGGCCTTTGGTTAGCTAGGAATGAAGGAATGGACCCATATAGTAGTCCCTACCTAACCCATTATTGCAGTTTCCATTTTCTTTTCCCTTCCTACATTCCCAGCTAACCTAGGTCCAGTGGTGGGTGTCCTGGTCACGATCCATCTTGAAGTATTGGTATTCTTACTGTTATTATTGCTATGATTATGTCGTTCTTTCTAGTCTCATTATTATTATTATTAATATTACCCTTTTCTTCCCCATATATCCTGGTAGGTGGGTGCTTCTCTGGAGCGGTCCTACGAGACTCTCCCGGCTCAGCAGGCATGAGCTCTATAGGTTTAGGGTTTAGGGTTGAGGAGATGGAAAAGAAAATGGAAACTACTGTTGGGAACATATAGTGTTTAGGGTTCAGGGCTCAGGGTCTAAGGTTTAGGGGGTTTATGCTCCCAACAGTTATTCGGAGAATCAAATGGAAAAGAAATGGAGAATGAAACGGACACTGGGATTGTGTAGGGATCCTGAAGTTAAGGGTTCCCCCAAATTGGGGGTACTTGCCCATAATAAGGATGATAAATTGCCATGAATCTAACACGAGCACTCTGTGCTTGCGGGTTCTTATCTGAATCCGGATCCCCTTCACGTTGGCGTTTCTGTGCATCCCCTGCACCTCGTGTTCAGGCTTGAATGCAAAGGCAGGGGGCATGGACAACACCCTTAACGAATAAATGCATTCCGGTGCGCACACCATGGCTTCATCGAGATGTTGTTGAAATGACCTTCCAACACATACCAGTACCATGGTTACAGGGCAGAAGCAGTGGAGTTCATGAAGGCATCCCCATGACTGGTCGTTCAGTTGTGCGTTGCACGGATTAGGGCTTGTGAAGATCCATGGAAATGATCAGGTTTTAAACACTTGAATTCACAAAAAGAGTAGAAGATTGTATTGTGAGTCTCCCAACATCCTTGACATTGCTCGTTTTAGCAGATGCAGGAAGTAAGCGGTAGGTATTCAGACTGTCAGAGCTGCCCCAGACAAGAGCTGCATTTGGCGCAGATTGAGAGGTTGAAGGTGGTCGAAGCAGGTCTAGCTAAACAGGGTGCGTACTCAGCAAGACCATTCATACAGTGGCCTGTCCTCGGTGAAATCCATAGGCCTTCTTGGCCATCTTGCGCTTTCACAATTACGGGGTTGAGGGTTTGCATTCACGGCGGCCCGGCTATTGAGCTGTGTGCTGGATTTTGTACTTACTTTCATTGTCAGACCACCTGAATGTTTAAGTTCAACCTAGAAAGGTCAGGTCCTTAGCTGAGCCTCAAAGTGATCAGGGGTGAGAACGGGAATGTGGACGGATGTCATGTTGTGGTGCAATGATCGTCCCCACCATGGCATGGCCAGCCTTGAGCACGCCTGTTTTGCCTCCGTAAATATGCCCCCACATGAACTAGAACCATTGCGAGCGAAGGCGGCGCAGATGCTGATTCTCGCAGATGTTTGTGCCCCAGTCTTCGTGGTGCGCGCCGCTGAGGCCCTTGATTGCTACATTTCTCTTGGGCGGCGTCTTCCTCGGGCATAGGGGTAGCTCTGCAGTGCAAGCTTCACCAGTCTAGCTTGGGTTGCGGCGCAGCAAGCCAGAACCAAGCACTGCTTTAACGGCCGTATCTTGTGCATCAAGTTAGGGCCATCCAACGGTGCCAAATTCAAATGCCCGGGTAAATGAAGCGTCTCATGTCCACGGCATGCAGTCGTCATCCACCTGGGCAACACCAGAGCCACCACCGGAGCTATTTGCTTTGGTCCGCTGAGACAATGCCAGCACTGATTTAACGGCCGTGTCTTGGTTGATGGAGCCACGGCCATCCAGCAGTGCAAGAGCATGTGTCCCTGGTCTTATGAAGCGGTTCGTGTGTAATTACAGCATGAAGTCGCCATCCTCCGGGGCATACTGCAGCCTGGATTGCCATTTCGGTGCTTGCACCTCTTCCTATCTAAGCTGCACACTGTTATTTATGGCTTCGATCCCATGGCCCCGAAGCCATGCAGGCGACAGATTACGAGCATGGATACCGGACAGCATGGGTATATACTAGGGTAGCACTTTAGTCTCAAGAGCAGGATTCTTTTGCTCTAAGCTCCCTGCTGCGAGGTCCTCACTATGTCCTTATCATGTCGCACCCTCTGTGGTGGTACCATTTTACCTTCAAAATGCTGTACCCAGACATTCAACTTCTAAATCCCAGGCTTGATCAGAACAGAAAGCTTCAAGCCGAAACTTTGAACCCAGAACTCTGAAGTGAAGACTACAATTTCCAAAGACCAGCTGGGAGCATACCTGAGGTGCCCGCATTGCAGGAATTCGCAGTGAAAGAAAACGAGCGAAAGGCCCGCGAGGACTTGGCCTCAGAGGGGTCTTGGGATCCAGGATTGATAGGGGTTATTAGCGTTTAGGGTCATATTGAGATAATATAGGAACTACTATAGTATATTGAGGTAATAGGGATAATGGAAACAAAAATGGAAACTACTACTTAGGGTTTAGGGGCTCAGGTCTTGGGGTATAGGGTTTTGCAGATCCCAGGGTCTAGGGCTTCGAAGGTCTGTGGATACGAGGTTTTGGGTTCAGGCTGTGTTTTTAGCGTCTCGAACACTCAGAGTTTGATATGGTGAGCTAGAAAAAGGGGTTCAATTTTTGTGGTTTGGGCTTCGGGCCGCGGCTTTACAAAATCCGGAATGGGAGGTGCCTGTGGCCTAGTTAGGAATTAGGATTTGCCACGCATTCTTCTACATTCTTCTATATTTATGGTATTTCTAAAGCCCAATCCCCATTCCGATTTTCAAGGCCGCGATGCTTGGTGAAAACTTTGAGTGTCATTGACTGCGTAGGCCTTAATCCGGAGTTCTGGTTGGATGCTGCTTTTGTTCTACTTGTGGTCTGGCTCTTTATTCACAAAATCAAACGACCTCCTGTTGTCAAGCTTGCTTTTTTTTTGCCAAGATTTCAGCTTGTTTGGGAAAATGGCATGCCAAGCAACATGGATGGCACCTGGAAACTTCCCTTGCCTCAACACTTGCACACTGAGACCACCGTTTTGGGGCTAGGCCCTGCCAGCATGGTATTCCACAGGTACCAACGGGCAAACAGAAAAGGGTCCGACAACAAAAGACCCTTATATAGGCCCTTTGGCACTGCAACCCTTTGGGCCTAAATCCTGCACCCTGGACAGACATGAACACAGTAAACCTGGCAAGGAGTCAGACGATCCGATGGGCGATCTGACACCCTCCCTGACGCGGCGGGCCCCCTTGGGCCTGGTGAAGTGGGAGGCACTGGGCTTTTTGGGTTGAGGGTTTAGGGTTGAGGGTATAATCCCTAAAACCCCTATATACACACAGTTTCCATTTCATTGCCATTTTGTTCATTTGATTCTCCATAATGTGTGGCTTGTGTGTTAAAACTTTTTGCCACGTAGGCCTTGAGGCTTCAGGGTGCAAGTTTTTTCGATTGAGGAGATGGGGGCTGAGGTGGCAGTTGGTGGCGGAGGTGTTGGGTATTGAGGCTCCCGAAATGATCCTTAAAGAATCCCTTTAGAATAGTTTCCATAAATTTTCTTATCCATTTTCCCATATATCACCCCAATATAACCCCGATGTAACCCCAATGGGTACCAGCGTGTTCAGGCTCCAGACCTTTGGGCTTGAGTTTCTCGGGATGGATGGCTTCAGGGTTCAGCCCTTGCGGATGTGGATCTTTTGGTTTGGGTTTGTCTGGAGATTTGGCGGTTCACGCGGGACTTAAGCCTTTCAAGAGTCAAAAGTTTGCAACGCAGGTTTCCGCATTCAAAAACCACAAGCCCTACGCCCCTACATGCTCAAGTCAACCTCAACCCTTAAGTGGCCAAACCATGGGTCCGATTCTCCAAAGACTTTCCGGCTGAACCCTAAACCCTGAACGCTACCATTTCTATTTTGCATTAATATTCTGATCCTTTATCATTATTACTATTGCTTTTCGTAGTAGACTGTACCATCCTGGCAACGAGGTAAGAGACGGCCGCCTCCACTTCATCCGCTCTGAACAGAAAAGGCCGTACACTGGGAGTCGTTTGCACTTTGTGGGCTAACGGTTCGGGCATCAGAGGTTTGCCTGTTGGGTGTTGGTAGTGCCGGGGCTCCATTTCATTCATTGGGAGTCTTCCGTGGTGTTGAGAGCTACAGTACCAGGTGGGTATACGTTTGGCTATTTGCTATGTATGGGTGTCTTGTCAGGCACTCCTGTGGCGCCCTGTTCCATTCAGTACCCTTCTTGTTCGTCACTTTTTGGTCTAAAGAGGTCTTGACTTCGTACCACCTGTTTGTCTCAGAAATTTCTGGAAAGATGCCTGATGCCTATAGCTCCAAGGCGTGTGACCCTCGAGCTGCAGCTCCAGATGCTCAGTAGCTGTTGCAATGAGTGTAATGTCTACTTTCATGCTGTAAGTGTAGCCTAGGCAGGAGCTTGCTTTGTATTCGTCAACTCCTTTTACAGCGTTTAAAAGCTTACTGCTGCAAGAAGAAGAGAACAAGGCGGGGGGCCTCAATGTTCGGTACTGAAGGTTTTTCCTGCAAGAGCACAGTGATGCACAGTGCATGACCTTGTCCGCTGCAGGCTGGAGCTACCAGCCGTAGATCTGATGGTCAACACCATTGGCAAGGGGCTCAAAGCGAGGCTAGTAGCTGAATCCATGTGCATCATCTCCCAGAATGCAAGGTCCATGTTTAGGCTTGGTTGGCTACAGCTACATGTATTCCGGTGCCAGTCGAGAATTGCAACACGACGAAAAAGAACCAGTGACCAGTTGGTGCCAGGATACTTCCAGAGGAGCAGGAGGAGGAGGAGCAGTAGCAGTATTCGTGGTGGTGGTGGTGGTGGTGGTGGTGGTGGTGGTGGTGGTGGTGGTCGTCGATCTCCTCCTCCTCCTTGACGTCGTTGTTGTTGTAGTTCTCGTTGTTGTTGACCAGCTTCTCGAACAACATGCTGCTGCGAAAGCATCGCTACCCTGCGTTCCACTCAGGCCCAGGGGTGCTCAATGGCCTTATGCAGGGAAGCACCTTCGTGTGTTGTACCGTGCTTCAGTATGCTTCAATGTCTTTGGACGTCTGCGGGACTGAGGCTATGCCACCGACCTAGAACGCATTGTGTGAGTTTGCGTGCTCGTTTGGCCAAAGGTAGGCCAATGTGTGAGGACAATTCCAACGCTTTGAGACCGGGTGCTTCTTGCGTGCATCAAGCATGCAGAAAAGGTGAGAAGACCCGAGCCACGGCAGCACATTTTTTGCTTTTGTGTCGTCGCGCAATCGATTTTTGGTCTGTTGCTTGCGCAGCAATGGCAAATTGCTCAATTCTTATAAGTGCTTGCTGCAAGATGTGCTGCCGTGCTCACGCACTGGTGCGACTAAAAGGGATAGCTGAGAACAGATTGGAGTGGTCCCAAGACCACTGTGCAGCAGTGAATATCTAAGTCCGCCTGCAAGTGCGCTTAGCCATCACCCCATCGCCAGATCCTGATGTTGCGGCCCATGCATGCAGCAACCCTAAGCCCGCCTCAAAAAAAAGGCAGGATGTTGGTCTCAAAACCCGCAAATCCCCTGAAAAGTAGAGAGTGTTACCGGTTTCACTGTGAAGTGGCGAGCTCCGGTAGCCGACAAAGGGGCAGGCCACTCGTGCCACCGGGAGCCGCATGCAACCACAAGGAAAGGTCAGTTGAGAGGTTTGCAGCTCGAGGCTCAAAGGAGTGAACGGTCCTCCTGCGCATTTCAGTTGGCATACTGCTTTCAATTCTCGAGGTGGCCTTTTCTTGGGTTTGCCATTGCCTCTCTCTACTTTAGAGAGAGGCCGCGCTATGGTAATATTGAACATATGCCGCCACAGCTCTCGCTGCTGTAGCCGTCACAAAAGAATCCGCTTTTGCTTCTTTGAGTATAGCATCGCCATGGGCGCTCTAAGCATGAATAGGCATTCTTCAATTGAGATATAAGTTCTGTTTGAGAATGCTGCTTCAGTCTCTTGAAGAATTTCTGCATGTTGCATGTTGCTCTGCGCATGCTAAGCTGCACACAGATGCCGTTACTGTTGTGCTGCAGCCGTACAGACGAAGCAGTGCTGTGCATGAATGAGTACTAGGTTCAGTGCAGCGTGATCACCGGGCAACACCGGCTGTTCGGGAATTGTGGTGGTCCTAATGCTCATGCTACCTACCCAGGATGCGAGGAGCCTCATAGGCCCTTTGCAAATTTGCTGGAATGCCAGGAAGAAAGAGCCTGGTTTTTGGGATAAGAACTCTGATCTGTGTTAAAACTGTAGAAAGGCTGAGCTTCTCTAAGTTGTACAGGAGGCCTAGCTCTTCTGCCGCAGATTGCAGGGGCGACAGACGTGAGTGGGTTGGCTGTACAAGGGACGGTTAGTTTGTGTAGGCCCCTCTAGCTTCTTTCAAGGCGTCAGCTGTCACCTGAGCACCTGGGGTTCGTGGAGTGTTGTCATCTGCGAAGCCTGATCCTCTCGGCCATGGAGCTGACACCAGCGGCCAACACGATTTGGTGCAGGAAGGTTGTGTTTGAAGAGCCCAGTTCATGTCGCAGATATGATCGGTCAAAAGGAAGCGCAGGCGGTTGTGGCGGAACAGGTGAAGTTGTTGTGCTGAGATTGCCGGGTCGTCGGGAGTGTTGTTAATGTTTTGGACGACTCGTCCATGTTGACCCGGCTTGTTGTAATGGCGGGTGCACAAGTAAGCCAGTTCTACTTACGGAATCATCCCTCAATCCGCCTGTGACGGTGGACAAACTTCTAGTGCCGATGTTTGCAGTAGCATAGTCAGATAATCACAGTAGAAGATCTAGGAGCTTCCACTTGTCTTCCATTAAGTAATGCATGCATGCATTGGTGCTTATACAGCCAAAGCATCCTCCGGGTTGTATTAAGTTGCTGTATTAGTATGCAACCCACTACAAGGCCGTACTATGACTACGGTCTTCTCGCAAGGGGGCTTTTTGGGCTCCGTGTTAGTAAGAACAGTAAAAATAATAGTAGTTATACTATTCATTGTAATAATTGTAGTAATAGTAGTAAGAATAGTCAGTAGTAATGATCGTAATAATTGTGGGGGTGCCAGACTTTGCTGTTGCCAGGGCAGCGAGCCCGACCGCATCTGCGAGCTCAGTGCCGCCGCCCCTACGGCGCCCAGCAACACTGGAAAGAGCAGCTGTTGCAGGCCGTGATCTTAAAGCTGGGAGTGCTCTTAGTCGTTGGGCGCTTTTTACGGTCCTTGTTGCGTAAAAATATTTTTAGGGCATTCAAGACCTTCAGCTTTCAGAAAGATAGGCATACCAGTGGCAGCGACGACTTTCGGAATGATCTTAACGTGCTGCTACATGATTGTAACTGTCAGGAATGTCATGCTGACGGTGGCATTGATGATGACAAGGAAAGCGGTGATGAGCTTGTGAGGGTGAGTAGTGTGCCGCCAATGCACCCCCTCTACTATAGCGATTGATGCGTCGACTTCGTTAAGCTGCACAAGTCACACAATCTCGTTGCAGTGGCTTGAGATTGGTCCGAGGGTCGCCGTCATCCCGACGACTCCTTTGCCTATTACAACCTCCCTGTATAATTGCCCATGGTCCTCATACGCCCCTTATATACCCCTTTTCTCAGCTGCCCCCTATGGCCCCATGGCAGGATACCCTAAACCCTAAACCTTTAATGCTAAACCCATAACCCCAGATCTCATTCGAGGCCTTGCCTGGGCCCACGCCTGGCGTGCTGCTGGGCGCAGTAAGCAGCAAACTGTGGTGGCCTGAGAAGGGGTGGGGCTTTCCCAAAGATTGGGAGGTACCGTTAACGGGGAGAAAGGGGTTATAGGGGCTTCTATAGCGATGTATAAGTAAAAACCATTTTGGAAAACTATTTTGTGTCAGAAGGAACTTATGGGGCCATACTATAACTAAAAGGGGGCCCAAACATCGGATCATAATTTTGTCAGGAGGATCTCCTAGAGACATATGGACACCCGAAATGGGACTTTAATTTTGACACCTTCCTATATGGGTTTGCAGGGTTTTAGATGGTTTTACTGGGATCTGTTAGGGTCTGCGTATGGTCGTGTCCAGGCTATAGGACCCAGGGTTTGCTGATGCGAGGTCTTGATGTGGGAGTTTGCCGAAATCAGGGGTACCTATTTTGGGGATAAGGATTATGGTATTTTAAAAGGTTATGCGTTGGGGTCCCCCTATTTTGGGAAACTAGTATGTAGAGAGTCCGTGGGCATGCAGGCTGAGGTGTTCGAGACGTTTTCACATGTGTTTCTCGTCTTGAATCGCTATAGAACGCCTGTAGCATACCGTTTTTGCTCCTGATCTGAAACCCTGAAAATGTGGTCCCCAGGAATGTTGGCTCTTATGCCGACGGTAATCCAGACTCTTGAATTTCTTTAAAGCTCTGTGCAGTCTTAAGTTGAGTGAGGCTCTTGTCTTAACCACCCACGACGAGTAAAGATCAGCACGGAGCCTTTTTTGTCTCTAAACGCCAGTAAGAACAGGAGCGTGGGTTAGGCCCCACCCACTAATAGTGGTATACTAGGAATATACAAAGGATATAGTTACCATTATCTCTTGTGGTCGCTACTTGTGAAAGGAGGGCCAGGCTATATATGGGGTTATATAGGGGACGGGTCGACCATGGCTCCATGAGCTCTGCCATTTCTCAGGGCTCCTCGATTCCGAGAGCTTCGGCCGAGCCCGAGGTGGAGGAACAGGAGGTGGCTTCTAGGGAAAGATCTGAAGGTGAGAATTTTGGCGGTTTCCTTAAACAAGGGGACGGTAATACCAACCCCAATATATTATAATCCTCATCATAAGGATCTCCAAAATGGTAAATCTAATCTTGGGAAACCTCAATTTTTTTCATTGTCCCCTCCATCCCTGATGAAGCCCAAGAGTTCGATAAGACATAAACTGCCCAAGCAGCCCCAAGACCCGGGCCAAGGCAGGATCAACGGATGGATGGTTACAAGTAATTCAAATAAAGCTTTTGCCTCTTGACGCTCCAAGCCCGGAAAAGGGCAGCCCTCCCAGCTGCATCGAAGAAAGACTTACTTGTAAGTAATCTCCCTCTCCGCAGCGGCAGGATGTACTGGAGGATGGGGCCCTCATGAAGCGCGTGGTGACTCAAGCCCAGGAGAGGGCTCCAACTATTTCACGAGTTGCTCCTCCTACTACCATGCCATTACGCTTTGGCTCAAAGAAAGTGCATGGTCCACTGGATTCTTGGGTACGTGGCAGGACTGAGGTTGCGGGGTAGTTGAAGAATAGGTTTTGGGAGTCTTTAGGCACGAGCTGTGTTTCCAGGGTTCCCCTGCGGCTCTTCTAGATTTGTGTAGGTTTAAAAGGAGATGCCATCACCCCGTGCCACTTACCCTTGGCTCGTGTTGCTTGTGTACGCATTGTGCAAGGGGTCCACAACCGCTCGGAAGCTCAGCCTGAGCCTCCTGAGACTCTGGCAGCCAGCGTTTTGGCAACGAACATCTGCGATAAACTTCCATGCCAGCGGGCTTGAGATACCATACAGAGCTCGTCGAGGCAGCAGAGTTTGCGTTCGTTTGGTTTGACGTCCGCAAGCTGCTCCAAACAATAAGCACCCTTGGTCTGTAGCCTCAAACACGACACCCTTAGCCCGGGAAGCCTCAACCACTCATCCCGCTGAATGAGTTTCCAGAAGAAGGAGGGAGCCTTTGGGCCTCTGATGGGCGATGAGGTCACCATCTCCTATGCCTGGCCCTGACAGGGTTCAGGAAGAAGGTCGACCGCTTTGATCCGCTTTGTGGTTTCGAGTTGGGGGTAGAGGGTATTTCGGGGATACACACGGGTTTTAGAGGGGATAATGGAAAAGGACATGGAAAGTATTATATTATAGTTGGTACAGAATGAGTTCAGGGCCTGGGGTTTGGATTTTGCGGCTCCACAGAAACTAGGTGCCCCTTCAACGGGCAGACTTCCTCTATTCGGCCTGGCTAGGCCTTCGCTGCATCCGGAGACACATGCGAACTCTAAGACCCTGAAGTAGAGAACAGGGTCCTACACAATTTTTTGGGGGGCTGCTTGCTGATTCCAAACCCAACCGGCTTTATCTGAAGCTTGGGATGGGGCCATGAGCAGTTCAGCTTTTCTTCGAGTCCTGAGATTGATGTAATGGCAGCATTCATACTTCCATGTTCAAGGTCGTTTTCACATGTCCTTCCAACATTTAAAGTCTCTTGAGGCGACCACCCTGGCGGATGGAACGCCCCTGGAGTCGCTACAGAGCCAGTGCCTTGTTCCGGCTCCTGCAGAGAGAGAGAGATCATTATGGCGTGCACACATTTTCCAGGTCGGGTCTTGAATGGACATGGGCAGCTTTCGTAATCTGCCTATTAAGCTGGACTTTGTTGAAGCTTGATGCAGTATTAGTGCTCCTTCAGCCCAGGGCTAGAATCGGGTAGAATGGATGGGGAAGGTTAATAAGGCACTTACTTGCAGTATCTGTTCTTGTTGTCCGGGCACAGGGCGTCCTTGCCAAGACGTGATGTTCTCGTTCAGGGGTTCGCTTTAGTTTTTGGAGCCGATTCTCTGGCTCTCAGAGAGGAAATTAATGAACCTTAAACCCTAAAGGCAGATGTTCCTCCCCTATTTACGATGTGGACACACTCACGCTAGAAGTCCGACACCTTAAAAATGTAGATGAGTGGTACTACCACACCTGCGGAGGTTCATGGCTATAAAGGCTTCTTAGTACTCCCACGTTACTGACGCTCGTGTTTGGGCTCTGGCAGGTAGACCCACGGTACCTTCTTAGACACTCACCTCCTCCCAACTTAAACTGTTGGCCCTTTGCTTGAGTAAACCGCCGTCAGATCCAATCCATCATGTAGTATTCTCCCCGGGTTGTAAAGATAGATTCAGGTATACTAAGGATCTACGCAAGGCCACCCTCAAAGATATAGGTTGGAATTGAATCACGAAATTGCTCTACCGGTACTAAAAGCATATGCCGAGTTAGGCATCAAGCATAGGCTTAATAAGGATTCAGGGTTGGAAGCTTATCTGGTGTCTGCGCCCACGCGCCAAAAACAAGGCCTTTTTGCAAGACGTGTCAAGCAACTGGGAAGCACATGGCAGCCGTAAAGATAGATGTTGCCGAACTGCAAATTATAGTTCCATCTGCGTGGTCCTCATGAAAAGCCGCAGATGTTGTACCTATAGCCCCAACGGAAGCCCCTAAGCAAACGAATAGGGTTCTAATTGGGTTATAAGTACCAGTTTCGCATCGTCATAATAATCATGATATTGAATATTAGTATTCATCATACTATTAAATACTAAATTAGATATTAATAAGAATAGTAATACGACAATAAAACTATAATCTGAAGCCGGCCTCCTGCAAGCTCCTTCAGGCAAAGGCGCTTTCACCTACAAGCTTGGCGCCGGGGCTCCCTTTCGAGGCCTGGACGAAGCGGCGGCAGCCCCAGCAGAAGTTAAAGCATCGATCCGTGATGGGCTTGAGGTCGGGCTTAGGGTTGAGTATTTAGGTTTTCGATTTGTCATGGGCTTGAGGTTGGAGTTTATGTTTGTTGTTCTTGGAATAATTGATCAGGGCGCTTCTGCTAACCGTTTTTCATTGTCAAGCCTCCTTTGGAGTACATTTCGCAAAATCAGATTGTGTCCTGTCGGGGACGTGGACCCACATCATGATGGGTGGCATGTACGACCCCAATTCTGGTTCACGCCCGTTGTCTGCACAGGATCATCTGGTTGTTTGCGGAAGCCTTCGGCTCATTGCTACATGAGATGTGTCAGAACTCAACTTTTGGGTCCTGCTTTCGGGTCCATGAACAAGATTCCAGCATTTTGCCATCATCCAGTATCAGGGGAGTCATGTTTTGGGCAAGGGCACATTTCCGTGGTTTGTGAGGGATTGAAGAAGGAGTCCAGTCGGATTCAACACAGTCTTGGTACTTGTAGGTAAGAGGATAGGGAGACTGCCCCCTGAAGTCATGCTTTCTTGTGAAATCCTAGACACTCAGAATCAGGTTTTCCGGAGCCGGCGGTGAGGTAAGAAATTCCTCCGGATCAAAGACACCAGTGACCCCTTTGTCATACAAACGACACAAGAAGTTTTTGAATCTTGTAAAGATATTTTTGCTCGTTCCATGCTTGATACATGTACCCTGAGTGAACATGGCCCATTCTACATGATGTAGCATGGGCTTGGACATGCTAACCCAGATCTGTGATTGAAACCCAGTCCCCTTAATAGGGATTATAATAGGGAGCCCTTAAAAGGAGGGGGGTTTACTAATCAAGGGTCTGCAATAAGCCGTGATGGTTGGCCCAGGTAGCCTCCATGCGTCTCGGCTGATGCATGGAGGGATCAGTGGCAAGCCCACTCTCAGGGTGAAGCTTGCAACATGCCTGGGCATGTCATAGGGACGGCTGGAGGAATCAGCAAGTATTGTTACTTTTATTCTTATTATCATCATTAGTTTGTTGTTTTATTCATATTACTATTCATATTCATAATTTTACTACCGTGACTGCTATACAAAGAGGTCCGAGATCTTAGTCAATAGCTGCGATGAATAATCCGGACCAGGCTGAGAAATACAAGGGATGACCCCTCTATTGCAGACCGACTCGCTGTACGTTAAGTAGTAGTAACAGTAGTAATAGCTACAGTAGTAATATCCCCAAATAGTGATCAGCCATGTTGGCATGAGAAACATGCTATGGTTCGACAAAACATCAGTAGCGGATCGCGCTGCAGACTGCTTGGAGTTGGATGTTGTGACAATACTTGCAAGGACTTGGTTTTCTAGGAGCCCTGAGACATGGTAGGTCCTCAAGACTCGCGAGCTTTTATTCTGCATCCCTTGTAAGATCAAGCTCTGAAATAGAATCCTTCTGCAACTCCTCTTCCAATGACGTTCGCGATGGTACAGCAGTGGAGTATAAGCTCTATGCAATGTTTTTCTGGACCAACACGCGAGAGCTCCAAATTCAAGGTGCTGGGGCGAGCGTGCAGTTTTCACCGTTGCGCCTGACTTGGCTTTTGGTCAGGCCTCCTCGCATATCTCAGCTTGTCACGAATACGTTCATGCGGATCCCAGGCAAACATGGGATTTACGGGAATCGCCATGTCAGTTCCTACCAATTAAATCCTTTTTCTGGGACTCGGTTGTTTGGGACATATATGAAGATGCTATGGACTCCATGGGAAAGAACGATGAAACTTTGCCCGAAAAAGTTGCATGCGCAAGCCCAAGCTCACAAGCTTTGACCCTAGACCACTGAATTCCTTAAGTCCTAGAGTGCTCACTCAGCCATCCGCGAGCCGCGATTCAGCCGAGATGCGGTCTGCCAGGACGGTTCAGATGATGTTCCAGCCAACGCAACCTTAGGCCGACTGCGCAGATCCTCAACGGATTTGTTTTGGGAAGGTCCAGAAGGTTAGTGTTGCTGATGTACAGTAAAGCAGCCTGGTGAGACCGATTTGGGCTTAGCGTCAGATGTGGAATACTTCTTCCAGCAATGTGCGATTTTCACCTTGCGTCATCTTTGCCGGCCATTCACTGTGAACGAATCATGTCAAGAAGCGTGTGAGCTTGTTGCATCTTGGAACCATTTTGCGTTCTGAGCATCGAAGGGCCCTCACAATGTGGTCATTTTCGAGCAGTTGGTGTTGCTATTTTTTCGACAAAGCCAGGAACCTTTGATTGAAAGACACCAAAACCACCAACCGGCCCTGAAGAAGCCCATTCCCGTACAGCTGACATTTTTGTTATGCCACCTTTTTGAGACATTGCGTCCTCGTTTAACACAAAACCCCATTACTATCACTGTTACTGATACTATTCTTACCATACTATTACTATTGAGTTTGGCGATTGGTGAATCTGGCCAGTGGTGGATGTGGAGCTTCTGAGTTTCATTGAGATTGAAGAGCCGGACGAGGCAGGGAGCCGCAGCTGTGTTCCTGTCAAAGACTCTTTCCAACAGATGAGCTCTACTCCTTAAACGGGGCTTTTACAGGGGATTCTATAGGGTACTATCATTAGGGTTTCTTGAGGCGGATGCTAGGAGTTTAGATTATAGTCCAAATGGGTAATTCCCCAAATTTGGATCCCATTTTGGTACCCCTAAATATACGGTGCCGTAATACAATCTATAGCCAAATGGGGTCCATAATTTTGAGAACCACCCAAACGTTTGCTTTGCTGAAGTCTGGTAAGCATTCTCTCTATGGCTATACACGCAGTCCTTGTTTTTTCTGGACCTTTTGTGGAACCTGAAGTTTGGAACAGGTAGCTAGGAATGCGTGTCCTCGAGCTCCCATAAACCCTTTCAACGTATTCCTAGGCTGCCAGAGCCTTGAAGGCTTTGCCGCCAAAGCCCGAAGCAGTTCTTGCCCACTTGAGCTAAAGTCTAAAGTCCTTGAAGGAGGTTTATTGGGATTAGGGTTTAGGATCTAAACTCCTTCAAGCGGTTATAGAGGAGATTATGTAGGGGATATTATAGGGGTCATTAAGGGGGATACTCTGAGTCTAGATTATAGCTCATTTTAATTCACTGCAAGGAGAAGTTTAAACTTCGCCGCCATGATTAAGCCTTGACCCTGAAAAGCAACCTTTGGCAGAAGCCCTTCAATGTATCGTCTTGTGCCAGAGACTCCCAGAAGCCCCCAAGCTGTGGCAAGAACGACTTTGACCTTGATGGCTTCGGCCGCAGAGTGCTGACCTCAGGGCCTTGGGTGCAGTTATCCATCAGCCCATGGCAGGAATTGTGTTCTCACAGACTCCGTCTATTTTGTGGGGAGAGAGGGACAAGCGAGTGTTCCGTGTCTTGCAAAGGACTTGGGCCCCGGTGGCGAAGATCCCAATGGCAGGCCGGACTAAGAGTTGAGACATGCGTGCACCGTCCGTGACCCAAGAAATGAGGTTGAAACCATCCCCAAGTTCGCTGTACAAGTGTCCCTGGTGAAAGGTGCCTTCATGTACAGTTATTATGCGAGGGTTCATGGGCAATGTGCCCAGAATTTTAGCTCTGGGAAAGATGTCTATCTGTTGAAGTTGAAGCTCATGCCTAGGGGCCTAGACCTCTAGTCTTCGTCCTGGGAAATGGGGACCTGCTACGAAAACTTAATCCTGACATACTCTCTATATAATATATTCCAGTATTCCGTACTAACCCCAGATGACCCAAACAAGCCAGAATTTCAAACTCTTCACACTGCTGCAGGTATCGCTGGGAGCGGTGTGGCCAGGTTCGATGGTATTTGGTCAAGAGGGCTTGGTTTGCAAGATGTAAATTTTCGGTACATGGCTTCTCTGTCTGAAACTTGTAAGAACGGTGAGAGGATTTTTGTGATCTGTGGTGTTCACCAGTTGCAAGATCACTGCAAGGATTACTCTTGTCAATGATTCCAGCCAGCAAGCTCCGCCATCAATGAAACACCCGGAGTTGATTTTTTATCCTAGCTTCCTTGATGCGCGCGCCCTATCTGGAAGTGACCGCCATGTCCAACCACATTTCCAAAACCACAGCCTCGCCAACCCCCGGATAGGAGGTCCTGGTGACGCACCCCCTGGCAGATGGCGTTGGCAAAGCAGCCCGATGCTCAGCTGCCGTGCGTGGATATTGAAGTTTACTGGTGTACAGAAATGCGCAATTGTCTAGTGGTTTCAGGCAAACATGAACCTAAACAAACGAGAACCTGATTTGACAAACCTGCGCATATGTGTACCAGGAAAAAAGGTGTCATAAGGCCAGCCTGGAGACGCCCCACCTTACACGCTGTGGTGACAAACAATGACAGAGGGATTGGTAGTCTGACGAAGCAGACGTTGCCTCGGCAATAACATTTCGATGGTGGTGTGCTCCTGCCGCCTTATGATGAGAAAGACGAGCCATTTGAGTTTGAAATAATGGCATCACTACACGTCTTTCAGTGACATAACATAGGTACCTAAGCAGGTCTAATCTATCATTATTATGGCACGAGGCGCAACTGTTCTAGGAATGTAAATTTTCAGGACATCAGACACACGTGGAAGGCATTACTGCTTTCATGTCTAAAGTTAGGCTTAAGCTGAGTATGTACCCGGAGCACAGGTTCGAAACATGGACGGAAGCGTCCGCCATTGAGAAAGGAGGGTGCTTAGTGGTCACGCGGAAGCATACCACATCAAATGAATTTGTTGCCGCACCATAAGGAGGGTTGAAGAGGTTGGAGGCATGAGGAGGCTAGAGAGGTGTACAAGAAGTACCACAGGCGCAGAGAGGAGCGCATCCAAACCTACAAAAGCAACTCGAACAGCTTACAAATACAAACATCAACATTCTGTCAATCAGGGGCAATGTCTGACACATCATACAGGATGACAGCTGAAATTGCCATGAAGCACAACATCGATCAACGCAGTGAAGTAAAAAGTAATCCAAGGCTAACATATAGTGTTCCGGGTTTTCTGTATCAAAGTACACGCTCGCAGTGCACAGGTAGTCTGCCAAGGGCGGGAAACCGGTTAGCTCAGCTTCGGATTGTATAGCCCTGCTTGCAGCTTTGAAGCACCAAACGTAGTCAAATTCTGCAGCGAGCCTGTTTCGATGCGCCGAGCGATAGTGTCAAACGTTTTTTTTGATTTGAGGTCATCAGTTTTTCCTCTATGAGTCCTTGTCACACGTGATGGAAGTTGCAGGAGATTATTGCGATATGGCCGCAAATGGCAGCGAGAGGTGTTATTGGCTGCTGAGCCATCATGTAGAGAATTCTTGGCATAATCTATGCAAACGAAGCCCCTGAGATCCCTACACATCCCTGGGGTCCTTGAGGAACCATTTTTTTTTTCTCGGAAACTGCCTATCCAAAACCCTACACTTTAATCAGGACATACAGTACGAGTTTATGCCGAGCCGTGTGTTCATAGCCGTGAAGGGCGAGGCGGAGACTGCCTGGGAACCTATTGAGGTCTCTCGAGGTATGGAGGGATATATGGTGATAGTAGAGGGATTATGTAAAGTCAAAAATCAGCTCGCAGGACTTTGACAGTTTGTAATGTTGTGTTTTTCTCCGGGACTTTGGGTTTAGCGCTTCGAGGCGCAAGGCGAAGACACGCATTGTGGGGTTTAATTGATCACAAAGCAAGGAACAAGACCACTATGCTTTCCTTCGCGTTGCGAGTTTCAAGTATTGCGCACCAGGCACTGCTTGAGCAGAAACAGGGTCTACAGACTTGTGCGCTGGCACAGGCTTCTAGCAACTCTCCACTAGTTCGCAGGTGCTCTTCGAAGGTGAACCTGGCTGCGAGATTGATGAGGAGGAGCTTTGCCAGCATGTCTGTCAGAAGCAGCAATTTGCGGAGAAGGCGCGAGCATCCCGTGTCATATGTTATAGCAACGTCAATAGGCAGCTTCTGGTCCCCTCTAGTTTTGGCAATGATGTTCTGAATGCGCAGTAGCCGGTGTTTCTTGGCACTATCGTACATAGGACTAGTGGCAAATACTCTGCACCGTTTTGAATATTTTCTGCACTGAGAATCAAACCCCCTCACCTCTCCTAATATCACATATGCATATCAAACAAGGGTACCAAAAACATACTGGGAATGGGTGGTGGGATGGCATTGGTTAAGCCCTGAGCCTGGAGCTCATTTCAGCCCAATCCCAAACCAGATCCCGAATCAAATCCCCTGCCCCAAACTTGGACTGTAAAGTGTAGACCCACCCTAAATGTCCCCCCAAACAGAAAAGCTCTCACCTCAGCCCAGGAGTCCTTCTGGGAGATTGACGAAGATAGAGATGGCCTGGATCTGAACTTATGTGTTTCACATTTTTCACTTTCAGAGAGCCTTCTTTGATAGATCTGGGGTACAGGGTTTGTTGCTTATGTTTCGGTCACTGGCTTTCAGCCCCCGCCGATTTCAGAAAGCTGGTGAAGGAACAGCGCGAGCTCCCCGAAACCCCAAGGGTACATGCGACCTTGAGTTTCCTCTCAGGAGATGAGGAGGACCGTGAGAGGCTTCCGGGATGTTGCGGAGGGAGCAGTCCTACTTTGAGGTCTCTGCTAAGTCTATGCGTATTTGAAATCTCAAATGCAGACTTTGCACATGGTTAGTCACGATTCTGGGGTGGTATGTTTGGGTTGTAGCCTGTATGTCTATGCATGCTGCCGAGTCTTAGAATTTGAATGAGCGAGGTGTATTCGCTAGATGAGCAGTCAGGGAAGTTCTCAGAACTACCTGTGACTTACTGTTGGCTAGCTAGGAATGAAGCAATGGATCCTTACAGTAATGCCTATATAACCCATCATAGTAGTTCCTATTTTCTATTCCATTACTTCTGAACCCAAGCCTGTAGAACACCGTATAATAATTTCCATTTTCTTTTCCATTTTTTCTAGAACCTTAAACCCTAAGCCTGTATCACCCATTATAGTAATTTCCACTTTCTTTCCCATTTTTTAAAACCCTAAACCTGTATGACCCATTACAGTAGTTTCCGTCGTCTTTTCCGTTCATTATTGCCGGCTAGCCAAAGGTAAGAAGAGCGCATCGGGGCCTTGGTGCCAGGGTTTCTTCCAAGAAGATTCAGCTGGGTTGCTGTTAGGGAACTGAAATTAAGTTACCATATTCTCCTATAATGGAGAATCCAGTGGAAAAGAAGATGGAACATGAAATGGAAGCTGGGGTAATGTAGAGATTTAAGGGACTTAAATTAAGTTACCATAATGGGCATATATAGTAAATAATAGGGTTTCCCCAATATACAAACTTTAATTAAGTTCCTTGACAGCAATCAGGTCAGATTGCGATTATGTCTAGCAAAGCACGTGTCAAGGAAGACCTGACCAGCATGCTTTGGCTGTATATACCCTACATAACCCCTACATAACCCCTATATATAACCCCTGCGTAATCCTTATAGAGCCCTCATGTATATCCTTTTAAAGCCAGTATGCATAACCCCTACCTAGCCCCTACCTAACTCCCATTAAAAACAACCCCTGGAGTTGGGACATACAGAGTTGAGGCCGCCGCTGCCTCTTCGTGCACCTGAAAAAGTTAGAGGAAGACACCCGATGGCCCGTGCTAGTCCCGGATGGCAAACAGTGGTTTAGGGTTCAAGGGTTTCGGGTTGAAGGGCTTAGGGCTTAGGATCTAAGCTCCTAGACTTAAAGGGGGCTTTGTTGGGGCTTTTATAGGGTACCGCTACAGGGGTTGCTAAGGGGGATCTAGCTATTTAACCATTAACCGACCTGTCGACACCCGCTCGACTGTCTCACCTGCCAATGACCCTGACTTTTGTCCGACGTACTAAGATTTCAGACAATGGCTCAAATGAGGAATTCAAGGTGGGGTTGGGGCGAAGGTTTAGGAACTGGGGTGGTTTGTTTTTGCTGTGCTTGAGATCCCAGCACGAGGAAAGCTGCGGAAAGGAAAAAAATCCTCATTTGGAAGGCTTCGGAGTTGGAAGTTGGAAGATGTGACTTTACTTCTCCACCAGAATTGGCAGCCACAACCTGAACGGTCAACTTTCTAACTACAGAAGCAGCAGATTCTATTATGTTCAGAGCTACCTGGAGACCTTGTCTTTGTATTACATGCTTCGCAAGCCTCAGAAGCTGCGGGATCATTGCTAGCAACATGATATGATTCCATTCTAGGCAGAGATCGCAGCCCTGACACCAGGAGCCGTTCAATGAGATTTGTCCTGGATTTAAGCCGCAAAGCCAACCATGCCCAGGATGTTCTCGTCGAAGATGCAATGGACGGGCTGGATGCGAGCTGAAATCATTGGGATATCAACGAAATTATATATATATATATATATGTATATTCAAAATCATTTACGTTTTTTGAAGATGGCATATGAATCGAAATGATCGTGGGATCATAAGAATATTCATTTGCGATTGATTGATAATCTGGATCTAGATGATCTGAATTATCTTGATATTTGATATCAAATCATTTGACCCGTTATAAGAATACCTCAATATTACGGCGCGGCCACTTGCGGTCATTTCGCACGCGCGCGGCCTAGCCTTTCCGGCTCACCTTTAAAATACCTCCTGAGGGGTCTCGAGGGACTCCAAAATCTCGGAGATTTTACAGCCCTTCGGAACAGCTAGAGGCTCAAATCTTCGAGACGGGCGGAGCGATCAAAAATCTGGTGGATTTTTGGTCGCGCGGCCCTTGCTTCCGGAACGGTTTTCCGCGTGATTTATCTTTCTGTAGCTGTCTGTGGGGTTGCTCTGGGACGGAGAACTAAAATCCTTTAGAATTCATAGGTTGGCTATATCTGTCTACAGGAATTTATACCGGGTCTCGAGCCGCCGCGCAGATAGCGCAAGAGAAATAAATGTAAATGAGGCAGAAAGATCGGATTGGATGCAGGGGCCGCGCGGATAAATTCTTTCTCTTTTTTCGGGCAATTGCGCGGCGGCTCGGGGCAGACTCGGGAGAGAGGTCTCAAAACTATTGGGATCTATTAATTTGGTCGCCTTTAAATATATTCTATTTTATACATTGATTATTCGTCGGGATTCGTATATAATTTAGAATTTATAGATAGATCGTATTTCTTCGCAGAAATTAATATATTCTCTCGAACTGCCATAGAGATAGATTAAGAGAATTCAATGAGATAGAAAACATGGGATAGATATGAAGCGCAGACCAAGAAGGATCGCATTTATAAATATTTCTTCAGATTTCTAATTATTTCCCTTTTTGATTATATATGCGGCGATTCGGTAATGCGGTTTTACGATAATAATATTGATAATTTGATAGATATTTGATCATAAGATTATTTCTTATGATTTTTTTCTAAAAATATATTTTCTATTGCTGCAAGCAAATAATTAATTTAAATTATTTCGATAAAATGATATAATTTAATTCTTTTCTGGGTCTCTAGTAAAATATTTTCTGTTGGCTCTCTAGGATTTTTTAATTTCTAAGATTTTTTTTATCATACATAGGTCGATAGCTGGGGCGGATAGAGGGAAGGAGGTTGGGGAAGGGCGAAACTTGCTTCTGAATTGAAAATTTCCGCAGGGAGATTAATTTTTCTGAATTTTGAATCGCTAGATCGATGATTTACTTATTTGCTAATTTGGAGAATCGCTTCATTAATTTATTATTTGAAAATAAAATCGATTTGATTCTTAGCGAATCAATTATTTTTTCTTATCTTAATTTTGAAGTTCAAAAATTTTCAAATTTTGATTTTATATGAATAGGCGATTCAAAATTACGGCGCGATCATTTACGGTCATTTCGGTCGCGCGCGGCCTAGCTTTTCCCTCAATTTTGAAATATCTCCTGCAGACTGCCTAGAGATCCCTAGGGAGTCTAAAATTTCAGAGATTTTTAAAATCTTTGGAAAAGCTAGAGGCTCTAAAATCTTCGAGATTTTCTTTTTTCTCCCTTTGGTTATTTGCGCGATTTTTCGATGGAAAGACCCGGGCCAGAGACCCAAAATCTTTAAGAATTTAAGATGATTGATCGTATCTATCTACGGGGACTTATACGCCCCCCCGCCCTCCCCGACCCGCCGCGCAGATGATCCAAGAAATTAGATAGAAATGAGGGGATGCGGGGGATGCGCGGGATGCGGGGGATGCGGGGGATGCGGGGGATGCGGGGGATGCGGGGGATGCGGGGGATGCGGGGGATGCGGGGGATGCGGGGGATGCGGGGGATGCGGGGGATGCGGGGGTCGCGCGACCGGAAATCTCTAGAGATTTCGTTTTTCTTCGGCTGATTGCGCAATAATTCGAAATAGAATCGGAGCGGAGATCTAAGATCTTTCAGAATTGATGAAATTGGTCATTTTTGATTACGTGCGTTTTTATATATCGATTATTTGTCGGGATTCATGTGCGATCTTATATATTTATCTCCCTTTAGATATCGGAGGAATATATAGATCCGAGACAGAAAATTAAAATCTTCAGAATTCATAGATTGGTCGTAATTATTCATAGAGATTTATGCGATCTCCCAAATTGCTGCGCAGATAATCCAAGAGAGATAAATGAGACGGAAATAATTGATTTGATTATATGCGTAACAATTCGTATGAATATGAAACTCCGGGTCAGAAATCTAAAATCTTTCAGAAAGATATATGAAATCTTGAAATATTGATAATTCATCGGATTTCATATTCGCCCTTTTATATTATTTATTCTACGGATTTCTTATAGATTCTCTCAAATAAATATTTTTATCATATTATAAAGAATAGATCGATCCTAATATTTTCCAAATTCTAAAAATGAATTAAGATATTTAGAATATGATGAATATATTAATTTTAGATATCTGTTCAAATTCGAATAAAAGAACGACATTTTATTATGAGATTAAGAAAAATCATATATATATATTTAATATCAAGAAATTCTAAATGATTTTTATTTGACGATATTTAATCAAGAAATGATTTTCGGATCTTAGAAATATGAGAAGATTATTTCAAATATATAAATACTAATATCTAATCTAATATTAATGATAGAATATATTTGATAGAAAGAAGATCTCAATTTAATGATGAAAAAATCATAAGATAAAGAAAATGAAATTAATGAGATATATTATCTTGAAGAGATATCTATTTTTATTGAAAAAATCAAATTTACAAAAGAATATGAATAATTATTATCAAGATATATATGATTTTCTCATTTTTTTTGAATATTTCAAATATTTTCATAAAATTGGAAAATTCAAAATCTTGACGGATAATGAATATTTTGAAAAATCGATCGATACGGAGAAAGATACGAT